CAATACACTTCGCACCAGCAATCCCCTCAATGTCTATTACACCATTCCAAGAGACACATCAGGTGGCCAGCATGCCCTGAATCCGTGTCAGCGTCGTTTCACTCACCCGTCAGAAGCACATGCTGAGGCAATGACTGCGGAGGCCATGCCACCACACAGTCGCCTGAAGAGTGATTCGTATTGTTTTACTTGGGAAGAGGTCAAGCCCTCAACAAGGAATACACACACACCCACCTCCCTCCTCACTCCTCTTGAACCCGCATCCAAGTACTGTTACCGGCAGTCACCACAAATGAGACACAAACACGAGAGGAAATCCCACCTTCAGTTTGCTCCTTGAACACATGGTGAGCACCACAAGCGTATACAGGAACAAAACCAAAAAGAACCCCACCAACAACTCGATTTAGTGTCGATTTCTGCAAGATGGGCTCTTTGATCGTTTCCTTCACAAAAGGCCATGTGCAGGTAAAGGACATGTCGAAGGAGCAATATAGCCCAACACACTTTCCCACTCAACTAGACTTGCTTCCCTCCGGACGAATTCAAAAGCTGAAAGCACACACACTCTCACATATCTTAATGACCAGCCAAAGGCATCACACCCCACACAGTGTCATGTGTTCCCACTAACACCAAGATGATTTCGAATGTTATGTTCTTCCGTTTGCATAAAGCAGAACCTCCTAGCAACCATAAATTGAGCATTGGATCCCTGCGACTCCGCACACCAGGAGAACACAGAGGGCAACTCACAACAAAGCATTGCCCCTTCCAGTCAAGTGCTTCACACACCTGCTCATAATCTCTTTTTATTGTGTCATTTCACACAAACTCAAGGAGCATCGGCACAAGAAAGAGAGACCTACCATCCTCAGCAACCCTTTTCCCTCCCTCGTCAGTGTTGCTTGCATCACGTCAGTGGTGCACCATCAGCCAATGATGCCCAACAGTCGTCATGTCCCATCCGCAGATAGCAATCCTCATCCAGTGTGTTTTTTAGGGTGACTTACATCAACCTCTTCCACCCATAAATTACTTCTGCAGTAGGAGTAGACTACATCTGGAAGCCAAACAAATACAGGTTGTGTGCCACACCCACAGTCATCTCCAGCACCGCTGTCAGTTCAGC